TTTCTGTTATACAGACTTTATTCAGTGACACCATTTAATTTAAGTAACTTAAGAAAGGCAGTTCTTAGAGATATCTTTGTTCATTTTCAGGTTATCAAGATGCTGAATGTACATAAAATGTACCATATTTAAAAAAAAATTTACATTATTAATTTCTACATAACTTAATGGCCCCAAAGCACTTCAGATAAGAATTACGCTTCACTAACCTCCAATAAGCTAGGAAGAAATAAAGCATTATGCTGGAGCACACACTTTCTGAGCTTCAAGTGACAGATTTCAGGCACCAGAAGGATTAATAAAGGATATAGCTCTTTTGTACAACAACTGAAATCAATGAACAATGGTGGAAGAAGCTATTCATGTCTGAATGAACAGTGCCTAGCAGAAACACAGCACAGAACTGTGCTCAGCTGCAGCAGTAGACAAAGCCATCCACAGTGTAACACAAATCAGGGGGCAAACCTGTCATCAAACCTGGACTGTGAAGTCCAAATAGCATATGGCTGTGTAGAAATGCAATCTCCATACTATTACCAATCATTCTGAAATACAGCACACTATACCAAGAAATCTCTTGCTCCAGACACGGAAGTAAGTTATCTCCAGCTTTGTCTTTTTAATTTCTCATGAAATAGGGAGAGTAACTGTACTCTTCTACATGCTTTTATCTACCACAAAAAACCCCCAACCCAGTGTCACAGTGAAGGCAGTAAAAGGGGGATAGATGCCTTTCTTTCAGTATCTCACTCAGATTCAAGCAAAATTTATTTGAAGAACTGACAAGGGTTCTCTTACACTAGCGACTCAGATCATGACCTGCAGCTGAAGTGTAGGCTCGTGCTCACTGCTCACAGTCAGACACTTTCATGGGAAGGAGGGGGTAGATTTGTAGACAGATTGTGTCTAAAATTATCTCAGGTTTTCCTTCAGCTCCTGCAAGCTGGAGCACTAGGAAGTTACTTGTCTGCTTAAAAATAAATTGGTGCTCAACCACTTTACCCCAACTATTAGTAATTGGTTGGACAATACCTTTGGTAGCTTCCCAGGCATGTTCCAAAATTTGAAAGTCAAGGAAAGTTGTGAAGATGAATTAGACATTAGAATTTGGCTAAATCCCCCCCCCCCCACACGCACACTGTGCATAAGTATTTGCATTAACGTCTGACAATCTGTTTTTCTAGAGTGAAGATAACAAACATCATCTTGAGAAACCAAAGAAAGTCTTCACCCGTACAATATGGAAGCATGAGCACCTTTTGTAAGGTAATCCACACATCCAAAGAATTTTTTTGGTCTCATACAAAAACCTTATCTGGGAGGACCAGTAACCCAAATTCTGATTCAGAAAAGTCTTAAGAATATCTAAAGAAAGTAAAATAAATTTATTCTTGAAATGGACTATACCAAGTAACAATATATTCATACCAAGTTTTAGTCATATTTTCAAAAGTGATGTCTCGGGCATCTCTACTTAAAGCAATCTAATATATAATACAAAAATACAATTGTCCATAAGGCAATCAATAACAGTTCATTTAAAGATAAATTTAGCATTAATAAAAACACATCCTATTTTACAGAATCAGTCTTATTTCTTGGGAAAGGTAAAATTCAAACAAGAGCTGTGAAAGCAGATTAATGGTCTTTCCCAAGAATCACAGATGGCCATACTTTCCATACAGCATTTTTGTTCCACAATAGGTAAATTCTTTGATAATGCACCTGTCATTCTTAATCAGAATTTGATCTAAAACATTCATTATGTGCCCAAGATCAACTCTGCTTGTGTCTCGGATATTGTCTTGAAGTGCTCCCTTTCAAGAAGCTAGTAGTACAACACAGTAAATCTCTGTTCAGAAAGACAGCAATCTTTTTTAGCAACCAAATATACTTCACAGGAAGAGACTCAAGTACTTTTTACTGCTGGTATGATTTAAAGATCTTAATTAACATCAGTTTTATTTCCCAAAGGATAACAGCTGCTCTCAGTAACAATGCATTTCTGGAGCACTCCACAAACTGAAAGCAGAATTGAGCAGTATCACATGCACCTAGAGCAAAGCTTTCAAAAACCTTTAGGGGGAAAAGAAAAATGAAAAGGGAGCTTCAATTGGGTAAGACTGAAGGGTGAGCAGGTCAGTAACTGCTCCATACACTAGAACACAGAGCTTGTAGATACACAAATCACTGCAGAGACTCCTTCACAGCCCTGGAAACGCCAACACTAGGCAGCACAAATTCTAACAATTTTGAGCTTGTATTCTGGTTGGTTTTCATTAGAATTTATATCACAGGGAAAACCACCCTTATTTAAACTTTTATATATATGAAAACAAGACCAGATGGTATTTCCTGACCCTATAGGGACTTCTACCTCCCAAGAAATGCTAAAAGAACATAGCAAAAACAACAACAACAAAGTCAGTGAAAATTATCATGCAGTGTATATCCTGCGTATATAGCTATATTGTGAAAAAGCTTAGGCAAACAACCCTTAATGGAAAACCAAATATTAGGAATAGATCTACTTCTAACCAGAATTCTTCAATAGAAGTTAATTGCACAGAGTTCTAATGCAGAGTTTCATAGCCAGATAAGCACTATCATTTAAAAAAATGTCTAGAGACTCATTTCTGTTGTTGCATCTCACTGAAATACCAAAACAGTAAGACAAATAATCAACAAAAAATGCATACAGACCTGCATAAAAAAAAAGCATTAAACCATTACATGCAAGTTGCAACAAGATTTAAAATTCTATTAGGAATTAAACTAAAAAAAAAAAAAAAAAATCACAGAAAAAATAAACCACTTCCTAGCCACTGATTTTCACAGAACTTTTACAGTTTGCAGAATAAAAGGAAGATATGGTTAGAAGTGTGTCCTGGGTTCAGCAGTAGCAGTCATTTTTCCCTTTCTTGGTAGCTGGTGCGGTGCTGCGTTTTGACTTTCGGGCTGGGAACAGAGCTGATAACACTGATGTTTTGGTTTGACCAAGGACTTTGTGAGCCTCATGCTCTGCCAGGGAGGAGGGGAAGCCGAGAGGAAGCAGAAACAGGACACCTGACCCAAACTGACCAAAGAGGTATTCCATACCACAGCACGTCATGCCCAGGATGTAACTGGGAGAGTGAGCCGGAAGGGCAGAGGGGACTGCAGGGTTGGAGGAGGTATTGGTCGGTGCTTGGTTGGGCTGGGGGGGGCGAGTTACTGGTCGCCTGGTGATGAGGTGTTGTATTCTCTTCCCTTGTTATTTCCTTTATCGTTACTATTATTGGTGGTAGCAGTAGTGATTTCTGTTATACCTTAGTTACTAAACTGTTCTTACCTCAACCTGTGGGAGTTGCATTCTTTCTGATTCTTCTCTCCGTCCTTCCAGGAGTAGGGGGAGGGCAAGAAGGGAGGGGGGGAGCGAGTGCACAAGCTGTCTGGCTGGGGTTAAACCATGACAAAGTGCTACCAGACTTCAGTGTTAGCCTCCCTAAATGAAACCAGTATTACTTTTGCTGCAGCGTACTAGTTCCCATCTGGCATCACTGCTGAAGCAATGCTGTTGGACCGATTAACCATTGCATGGATAAAAATAGGTTTTGATGCCATCAGAGCCACTTTGTCCAAGGCTCTTCAAAACATCTTTAAGGCCTCCTGCAGCAGCCTGACTTGTGCCTGACTGTCAGCATAAACTGCTGCTCCCAAAACCTGGCAGCTTGAAGTAGCAACCTGAACATTTCATCCTATCTATCCAAGGCAACAGCCTCTCTGGGGAGTTACAAACTGTGGTCAGGTCAGTCCACCACAGGAAAAGTGAAAACCCACTTGGCATGTCTAAGCCAGTGTGCTACTTCTGCTTCAGGAGTGAAGCACAAAGTAAACACACACACGATCATTCCAAAACAATGCTAGAAAGAAGCCAGCCAACAAGAAAAGAGACAATTTAGCACTACAAAAATGAGAGAATAAAATAACCTTAAATGAAAGAAGACAGAAAAAGTTATGGTCCTTTGGTTTCTTTTTTTTTTTTCCCAAATAATCCCCAAGAGACCAATTTAACTGAAAAAGTCCCAATTCACATCCTTAATTCTTACAGCAGAAGCATTCCATCTATGAAGGGTATATCAGCATGCTTCAACTTCAAATCCAGAACACCAGTCACTTCCCCTGCTGCTACTTGCCAGCTTTCCAGGACAGATTTGGAAGCAACCCTGGTGCTGACACGGCAATATGGTATCCACACTTTTGGGAACCTGTCATTCAAAAGGGACAGAAGGTGCTAATGTCTTGCAGGTGATATCATGCTATTTCATTGCTCCACTATTCCTGATAGGGCAACGGTTTTCATGTGGCTCAGCTTCCTGTCTGTGAAAGGATAGTTTTCCCTCAAAGCATTTCTACATCTTGCAAAAACTGTGATTTTTGGATTTTTGACTGTTTCTTATTCTACCATCTAGTGAAAGAGAACTTTTTTTGTTTGGACCACGAATGTGTTCTCATAATACAATGATATCCAACATTAGATGAATCAAGACAGAGAAGGCACAGATGAATCCTTGCAAAGCAAAACAACAGATACAACAGCATTTAGCTAAAGTTAGTTAGGCCACTAATTTCATTTATTTAATAGACAGGTGCCTGTTACTTTTATGACCTGTTTGTGTACTGATCTTCAGAGCTTTGTCTGCCAGCCCCTGTTGCAAAGGCATTATTTCCCTTTTCAGGTATCAGCACTCAGGCTCTACCTACATACTGCAGTAGGTTTATATTAACATCAGTATACATCAGCATTTACTTTAAGAATCAAGAAAAAAGTTACTCACTCTCCTTAAAAAAAAAGGTTTCATTAAAAACTTTCCAACGCCTTAAGAAATGTCTTGCAGCTAGTCAATCAACATCACCCAGTATGCACATTCAGTTTTAATCCTTTGAATTACAGCATGCTATATACAGCATGTGTCCTGGCATAATCATTTAAAACACAGCAACAACTATTATTCAAAGAAATATTTTTTCTTTACCGTATGTTTAGTTACCTTAAATTGCTCAACTATCTGAACAGCGTTGGTAAACATGCTCTCTGCTTTGAAATGAGCACTATTGTTCAGATATTCCAGAGGCAGAGTTCCCTGGGGAAGAAAAATACATATATAGATTTAAAAAAAAAAAATAATAAAAGAAGAAACAGGAATTTCTGTAACTGAATTCTGAATTGCAGGCCAAATAAGCAGTAAGAATACTTCCAATTACTGCTGAAATAACTACTGTAACTTATTTGAAAATACTCTTCTCACATCATTTCTCAACATCACAGGTACTGTTCATAATATCCCAGGAATGCAAAAAAGGTAAGTAATATCAGTTGTTATTAAGCTACATACTATAGAAATATAACTTCAACCTCTCATCAGAAGCCATTTTCTAAATACCTAGAAGTCTTCCATCCAGTGCCTTGGCTGGGTCTGACTAACCCAATACTTGTGATGGGAAAGTGAACAGTTGCCATGCTGCCCTGTGGTAGGCAGCTTTCCTTGCATAACCTGCAGTGAGTGCAAGACAGGGGGACAGAATATGGGACAGTGTCCAGAAGAAATATTTCAAAATATGTCCTGTAAATAAATGCTTTAAATGCGAAAGAAGCAGCATGAAAGCATACAAATGTAATGTTAATTGTGAATTTGGTATTTGTAAGACAGCCTTTGCACTGTGTAATAATATACAAAAGGAATTCAAAGAAAAAAACATCTCACAGTGAGGGCAGTCACTGTTCACTAAATTGAGGCACAAGATACCATCTGAAGAAAGTACACTAGTTTAAACAAGAAATAATTAAACATTAAATTGCAGGAACCAGCCTGTTTCCAGGCTCAGCTTTCATGATCAAAATCAAGTGTTATTCAAACCATACCGCATTTTTACCATCCCCCCAAAACAAAGTAACAAAAAACTTTTATGTAGCTCGGGAGTATAAAGTTGCAGATTATAAAAGATCAGCTGGCTTTCCAATTGAAAATAACATATAATATATAAAATGATTGAGTTTATATTTTAAACTGAAGACACATAGACATAAAGCTGAAACTACAAGCAGTCTCCACCTTTCCAAATATACAGTCTTCTCCCTCACATGCCTCAAGTCTTGTCCCCAGCACCTTCTCCTCTATGGTGAGCAGATTTCTGTAATACAGAAAAACATTGTACTACTTACCACAGAGTTCAGGGGAAAAGGCACACCAATAAGGGAAGCCATCAGTGGTGCTACATCAGCCTGTGCAAACAGAAGCATTCCCATTTTAAAATAATTCCAGCTGCCAGGGCTAATAAATTCAGTTTAATTTAACATATCTGCATTTGCAAAAGTAAATGGTATAATACTGGAAGTTATAACACATGATTCTCCTTTACTGTTCTTTTTTTTTTTTAGTTTCCAGTACTCATCACTGCATGATTAGATTCAAAATGTGAGGCTCCACTACTGATAAAGCTTAAAAAATACACTTAGTTTAAAAAGTAAATCTAAAGCCCCACAGTACTTATTCACAGTAATTCAGTACCTCCTTCAAGGCACTCAGAGAGGCACACCACTTTTTATGACTATTTATACGACAGAAAGAATTTCATATTTACAGTTTTAAGCTGTAAGTACATTGAATATACTGCTTTTCACAGAACTCCTTATCCTGTGTTTCCAGCATGCTGACTACTTACTTTCTCCCCTTCAGAGAGGAATTCTGCACTTTTATTTGTGTCCAGTCGATCCTCAAAAAGGCCCTTCAATTTATGCTAAGGCATCTCATCAAAGAAATTACCAGTACCTTTTACTAGCGATGATAAACACTTCCTCTCACCAGGTTTATATTTTCTTTTAATATAAAACTACATGAAAATCCTTTGTCTCTCCAACATAAACTGGAGAAAATACACTGAAACCACAAGCACTGCTGCAGCCTCAGATCTACAGTGCAGAAGCAGACTCCAAACCATTATTTGTAAAGGACAATATACATGTAACTGTAATAGCAATCAGAAGTTTAGTTTGGTTTTTTTACAGTCTCACATGTACTACAGGATGAAATCTCTGTCCTTGGGGACTCCATTACCCGTAACAAAGCAATGCTCTAGACTCTTCTATACAATCCCGAAATAACATTCCCATAACTCCTGCCCACCTTGAGAGGAAAACTGATCTCTAATTTTGCATGAGGGCTTTGCTGAAAGCAGGTGGTCCAAAACATTCCCAGGTTCAACCTTGTAACACAAGATTATCTCCCTTGTTTGAGCAGATTTGTAGTTTGTTATTCATATATTGGGTTTCGTAGGATAATAGGAATTAAAAAGCAAACAAGCTTCAGGTGCATAGATGTATATGCGTTACCATCGTGATTTAAAAAAGCTTGGCTAATTTAGTATCAAGGGTTAAGTCATCCACTTTTTTCTTCCTTTACAGTACAAACTACCTAAATTACTAAGTGGCTGAGCAATAATCACAGACCCTGCTGACAAAAAACCCAAAATTTAACAGTATAACAAGAACTGGTTTTGAATCAAGTGACAAAATACAGACATTGAAATAGATAGCTCTGAAAAACTAAACTAAACATACATACGGATAACTTAAGTGTAGCAAAAAGCATAAAACAGATGTTCACAAACTTGGGAATCATGGTCGTGAGACCATGCTTCTTTTGTGTTTTGCTAGGCACCTTTATAGGAGATACCAAAAAGGTTTAAGTTCAGCTCCAGAGCATGTTCAAAGTAGAAAGCAAAGGGGAAAGCATCACAAGTTAATTTTAAAGGTTTGCAAAACCAAATCCCACTCTGAAAATATGTTAGATGCTATTCAAGTTACTTTTAGGTAACTGGCACAAAGTTTGGAAGTACCTGACATATTGTACCATACTTTCTACAATGGTATATGATCACTTAACTATAAATGATGTAATAATGCATCTTCAGGAGAAGCTGTACATAGATGCACATGTGTTAACAAGCTGTTTAAACTTTTTCATATTAGGTTTGGTATGGGTGCAGTTCCTGCAACCCTTAACTTTTAAGTAACACATTCCAGGGAAATGCTACACCAGTTTGATCATTGAAATTCCATTGATACCTGATTGACATCCAGCCTCTTCAAGTTCTCCAGTTTCCACTCTGCAAAACATAACAGAGCACATGAACAGCTAATCTACACAGATTTGAAAGGAGTAATTCAGTTGACACTTAATGTCTTGTTGCCATTTTCTGTAAAGTGTTGCTGCTAAAGAAAATTATAATTTGGCTTTAGGATGCTAGCTCAAGAGGGGTTACAGATGGAACTCAACAGGCAGAAACAACAAAATGCTTTCATTTCAGTTCACATTTTTTTTTATCCATCAAGATAAATTGCTGCTTGCAATTGTGACCCGTATCAGCTGAACAAAGTCCAAGGTTTTTGTTTTTTTCAGCACAGTACAGAAAGTGATGTATTACCTCCTGTGCCAACTAGAAGGTTCAAACTCAGGTTTAGGAGAAGGGCTGTTAAATCTCTTCAGTAGTTTTTAAAAAAGGTTAACCCAAGGTCCCAGATGTACTGGTACAGAGTGGTACAAACATACTTCATGTCTGCCATAAGCAATGCCAGCCGAGAGCGAGCTCAAGGGAAAACGTTCAATGATTTAGCAGTCAGAACAACTACAATGAAGGCAGAGACAAAGCCAAACATACAAGCCCCTAAAACTGTGGTGCATCATACAAAAAAGCTGGCTCAAAAGTGTATTTTCCTGCTCCCATTAGCCTTTTAGGAAATAAAGAGCAAATTGTCTGTTTTCTTGGGGGGAGGGGGGGGAGGAGGAGGGAGGGGAGAGAGGGCGTGTTATTTAAAACCAGAGTTTAGCAGGGATTGGTGGTTTGGATTTTTTCATATCTTCTCCTTCTAATGTTCAAGTTTGCTGCCCCACAACAACCCACAGCAATAATACAAGCAAGGAAAAAACAACAACAAACCCCACCCCCCCAAAAGATGAAACATCACTTTCTTTTTTATTATTCAAGCTTAAAAAAAGCATCAAATACACAGGAAAACATGATAGGGGCTGAAACACACTTGCTGGTACAGTACTTAAAATACTGTCAGTCACCTACCCCTACAGCAAATCTCAAGTAAAGATGCTGGGGGCACCTGCACTCAGCTTGGGAAGCAAGCTTACTGCTAGCAACAGGGGCACAGTCACATTCCTCAGCACCTAAAGACAGATAAATGGGCCAGTCACTATTCCACTCGCTGAAATGACACTGCAGAAACAGCATGGACAAAAGCAGGACTCAACCAGTGATGGTGTAGCCATGCTGCCCAAAAGTATCCTTTGGCTTTATGTGAAGTCTAAGTTTAAATGCACCAGAAACAGGCTTTAAGAAAAATACCTGTAAACCATCACTCAAAGGTCCATCTCAACCTCATTTATATTCTCCAATCACGCGTCTAATTCCTAGACCACACTGCCCTTTCTCCATCTCTGCCAGACCCAAAGCTGTTTTGGCTGAAAACAGATCCAGCCAGGCAACATCCACATTAGCAGTATTGCATGTACCAAACTTATTTTCAGCAATTAATTCATACTAATGCTAGCTTCGGGGGTCTGAGTACAGGCTCACTGCTGTATGGTCCCAAGAAAACCCAACCATGTACCTTAATAGCAGCAAGTCATACAGTTACAGCAAGTTCCCATGGCAACACAGGGGAAGCATTATCAACATTAATCATGAATTGTGTTAAACTCACAACAAAATGAAAACAAGTCTGCTTGCTTTTGCTTCCCACAAATGGAAATGGGTTTATATTTCTACAGATATAGATTCTCACTCATATTTCTATTATATAAATGCATTGTCTGTTTTACTTCAAATAACATTTTCCCATGAAAAAAGTTGAAAAATTGTCTCCATGCACTCAATGTGCTTAAGGTAGGAAGAAACCACAGATCTGCTTGGAGAATATCTCTAGCTTTATCAAAAGCTTTTACATTTCTGCTTCCCCTACCCAGATATTCCCACAATGCAGAGTTGAAGACATCTGCCTTGGACCAGGAGCCATAGGACCAGGACACATCTGCAGCCTGGCCAGCGGAGGCTGTACTCTCAGGAGTGGGTATACATGCTGCCCATGCCAGTTTACAATTCTAGCTTACTGTCCAGGTTTCCTGTACAGTGCTCAGCACAGTTTCCCTCCCATTTGGTAGGTTTTATTTTCTTTTCTTTACCCTGCCCTTTAGCCTGCTGGGCATTCAGATGCAAACGGTCCAGGGGAAACAGCAGAGCGCCAGCTCAAGAGGCAGAGGCTGAGGCTATGTGAACCAAAGAAAATCTCACATAAAACCTCATAGAAGCAAAAACAGTGAATACTGTGCTTCCTCAGCTGCAGCAGAGCAGGCTGAACCCCCTCCAGAACAGGATGTGTACAGATGAAAACCACTCCACCTCCTTCTGCTGAAGAAGGCTGTGCCTTCACTCACAAGCTTCTCTGGACTTGTGCTCCAAAGGCCACCCCCGTGGGGACTGCACTGAGGAGCCAGAGAACAGATCTGTATTCTCTTTCTTTCTGAAGAAGGGTCAAGCCAACAGCCAAATAGGTAATAATACACTTTGCTGCAGGATGCAGGGCTCCCATCACAAATATTTCCAAGATGATTGCATAGACAGGCCTAAAGGAGCAGAGCACAGGAGAAAGACTGGTAAGAAGGCTGTCATCCCAGAGCAGACAGTGTCCTTTCAGCCAATCAAGGAGCATATTAATTTTTCCATAACAAACTGGACAAAGTCCTGCCTGTTGGCATCATCTTTGGGGTATTAACTCTTGAAGGCAATAATAAGAAGAGAGACAACCCATTGAGCTGCCTACAGCCTGCTTGAACTGAACAAGTGAAGTTTGTCAGCATTGGAAATATTCTGCTGTTTCCATGAGCTTTTAACTCAGAAATTAGGAAGGATTGTCAATAGACACAAGAACTTGACCACTGGTATGTGCATTTGCAAATAAAAGTTGGACACCTGCATACATCAGTGATGAAGCAGTCTTGAAAACACTCTCCTCTCCTACACACAGTCTCCGCTGCATTCATATGGAGCAGGAAAAGCAAAGAGCCTTTCAAGAGACCTCTTTTAAGCATTTTTCTTTCACATATTAACTTTGTGAAAATAAAATTACAAAAGGGGGAAAATAACAGTAAAGAGTCACAGTTTTTCATTAAGAAAGACTGCTTACATTCCACAACAGCCACAAGGATGCAAGTAAGACAAAACAGTCCTCAAAGTCCCCAGGGTTGTACTCTGAAGCTAGAAAAGAGTCTTCAGGCATGTCAGCTTAACAAGTTTCTGTACAAATAGCTTTTAATCTCTGAGAGTCTTCCTAAGAATTAAGTTTCCTCTGGAACTAAGTTTTAAGAGCATGAATAAGAGCCTCTTGTACCTCTGCACCCAAAAAGAGAAAGCCTCCAATTCCATGATTAGAAAAAAACCCTGACTCTGACATCTACCCAATTTTGCAGTTTCCTCCATAGGCATGCCCCATCACCTTTTCTTCCTACAGCCCACAAACCAAGTCATGTCTATTGTAATGGAACATTACAATGTTCCATTACATTAGTGAAGTTCAACAGGCATAATGATGAAACACCTCCCTTTCCACCAAAATTTTGCACTTGAGTTTTATATTTTACCTACCTTTCAAAAAATTGTCTTCAAATTTTTGGGATGTGACTCTCTGTGGATAATTCACCCCAGCACCCCAAACAATCAGTGGTGTTAAAGTTTCTGAGGGATGACCAGCTCCATGGGTTCCTAAGATACACCAAACAAAAAAGAGTGTAAACTTTAAGATACATGGTGTAAACCCAAACAAAATCTACACATACGCACACATACACTAAATTGTTGTTACTGTATACATACTAAAATCCTATTACAGACAACCTATCCCAGCTTCATAGCTTATTTTTCTGCTACTAACAAAAGAGGCTAAATTCAATCTCCAAGTTAGGAAATTGGTAGTACTCAAGTCAAGCCCATAAAGGTATATATTTGTGTATAAAAAGCCCCACTGTTAACATACAGAAACTAAAGCCAAAGTAACTGAAAAACTCAAGGCATAGCAGAGTTACCTGCTCAAAACATATGCATGTGTTTATCCTGAGCATCCCATGGAAACCAGGAATGGTTCATTTGAGTACAATAAGGCACATGCCAAAAGTATCATACGGAACTGATCTCTGCTCCCCAGATAAGGATTAGACTTTCATTTCAAAACTAGGACGCGACATGCATTGCACCTATCATCTCTTCCCCAGCAATATAATTTCATTTTTCAGGTTTTAAAGCCTGGTAGCACACTCCTTAAAAATTGATAAAACATTACTTCCTTCCCCAGGGAAATTAATTCCCTCCAGATTACAATTAACCTATCATCTGCCAAAAAGGGGGAGCTTTAGAACTGTAGCATCTCAACAGCAGGTGCACTGAAGCAGAAGTCACACAAGCTTGAAAGAAACAGCGGTCATTGAACTCAGTGGATGAGGTACCACAGCAGTGAGATAACCCAGAATCAAAAGGAATTACACTGTTATACAAACTCTGTGTTGTTCACTGCATGGTCTACAAGATTATCCATTTTCCTTGTATTTGCATAGAAGCACACTATTCCCTCTCTGCGTGTATATATATTCTTAATAAATCTGAAGGACAGATAATAACATCTGCCTTTTTGGTTTTTTCTTTACAAAACAGAATTGGATATGAAATTGGTAATAGCACTGAGGCTGAACAGCAATCGTTATGGCAGAGCTGCTGAGCCAGCTTTGCATTCTTTAAACAGACCTATGCTTAAGAACACTCAGGTCTGGGAATAAGATTTCCAGTGTTCAGAAATCCCATGGAAGGCACACTCTGGGTTCAAAAGCAGCAACGACCTCTTCTTCACAGAGCTTGGGAAAAGAACAGTTTGAGACCATGCTTCCTCTGTCTTTCAGGCATCAGTTATTTATTTCTGTTGCAGAAGTGGAATTTTTGGCTATCTTTCTTTTTAGCCAAGTCACCAACTCCATCAGAATTTTACTGAGACTCTGCCTCCACCGATACTTTAAGGCAGATATAACTGAGAGAGGAAGCTGTATACACCCTCCCCCTATTATAAAACAGGTTTTATCCTTATCTGAATTATAAGGGCCAAACCCCTGATTTTCAGCTGGGTTAGTTCCCTGTTCCACCCCTCAGCACACTCCAAACACACATTTTCAAGTGAAAGGGAGGGAAAGACTGCTGTTGCTCAGTTCTTCTGTTCTCTGTTCCAGTGTAACATGAAGGAGTACTTGTGCCAGGATGGTAGCAGGAACAAGTGGCCAAGGTGAGAGTGGTTGCAGGACCATCTATCTCAGTCAACAGTTCCATCTGAGATCAGCTTAAAGCAATATCACAGAGTCAGGCTGAGAAAGCAAGTGATTTTACCAGTCTTTGCCAATAACCAGTTTCTTTGATTATGTCAAGTTCAGAACATGCTCTCTTCCTTAATAGGTCCTCCCTACCCTTCTAATATTTGTTTTAAAATTGGTGCACATCCCATTCTGCAGACAATGGCTGAAAGTGTGCAGCAGTTGCTGATACTTACAAGCTCAGATCAAAAGCTACTGAACTAGCCTTCAGACCACTGGCTATAGGCCTGAGCATCATTTGATCTTGGATTGACTAAAGTCAACATTAAAGTTATTAACACTTCCAGCAGATCAAACTTTTTCTTCAAGATAGAAAGAGATGACAGAAAACTATGACAGCCCAGCAGTTCTCAAAGCCTGAAGAGTTACTCCTATCACCTTTTATTCCTCCTTCAAAGAATCCAGTGCATAATGAGAAAACCGCAGGAGCATACTCTGACAGCAAGGAAAGCCAACAGCACCCTGGGCTGTGTTAACAGCAGCATGGTCCAGGAAAGGGATTATCCTCCTCTACCTGTGAGACAGCCTTTAGACACTGGATCCAGTCTTGGGCACCTTCAGTACAAGAAAGACATCAGCCATCTAGAATGATCTTAGTGGGGAGTCCCCAAACTGGTCCGAGAAGCACTTGCCCTGTGAGGAGAGGCTGAGGGATTGAGATTTGTTCAGCCTGAAGAAATGGCTTTGGGGAGGACATAACAGCATCCTGCCTGTACCCCACTTCAAGGGGGTCTGAGAGGATGGAGGCAAGAGTCTCACTGCAGCACATTGGTGGGAGGACAAGAGAGAATAGGCATAAGAACAAAGGAGGTTCAAGACTGCAGATAAAGAAAACATTTTCCCCTCCATAAGGGCAACTAAGTAGCAGAGCAGGCTGCCCGAATGGATTGCATAGGCTTCATTCTTTCAGGTTTTGAAGACCTTGCTGGATTAAGCTCAAGCAACTGTGTCTGATCCCAAAGCTAATCCTGCTTTGAGTAGGTAGTTTGAGCTCCTGAGGTTGCTATGATCATATATAGTCTAAAAATATGCATATACACACTTCTTTTTATAAAAAAATTATGAAACTGTTACTTGAAAGAATTAAAATGTATTGCAAGTGGCAGCCAGCTCACCCGTAAATAATACTCAAAACAAACCATTTTGCAAATAAGCAGATAATAATTAAATAAATAAATATCCTCCATAGGCATGCCCTGTCACCTTTTCTTTCCACACCACAGAAAACAAGTTATATTTACTGTAACGGAATAGAAATCAGGGAAGATCAACAGGGCCCCCTTCTCCCCAACTTTTTCACCAGCTTCTGGACACATCTGCCATCTTTTCCAGGTGATTAAGGTGATTCAACTCAAAACAGGGGCAACAAAGCTTCTAATGGAACAGAGTTCTAATCACACTCAAGACGCTCACCCGTAAACTCATCTGACTCAGCATTTGAAAAGACTCACCCCAATCTGTCATTCCATGGTCAGAAGTTAAAATAAACGCAGTTCTTCCATCATTTCCATAGAAATTGTCAATCATCGAAACAATTTCTTTTACACCCTCATCAACTTCTTTAATATTCTCCTTGTATTCCCTAGAAAAATAAGAAAAAATGTTGTTAGATTCAAGATGGCTCTCACACTTGGTATAAAGCAAGTTTCTCATAGTCAGAATGTCCAGTCCTTTGATTATAGACAGCTTTATCCTCTACAGAACTCCAAGCTTACAAAAGGCTTCCTAGATGTACAAATCTCTCCTCCTCTAAGACTTATTAAAGATACTAAATTGTCACAGCACAGTTTGAAGGTTCCTGAGATTACCATCTTAAAAGAAGTTTATTTGTATTTCAAATGTGACCTGTCTTTGATTGAAGACAATAATGCAATCACCCACAGCTATCAGGCAAGTTAAGGAGAACATCAGAACCAAGGAATTCTGGAAAACTCTAACAGCTTAAATTGCAAGTTTAAAAAATTACCTTAGGCTAGTAACTAAATAGCAGAGATCTCACCATGCAGGGACTGTTTTAGGAAGATTCACAGATCAGCACAGGCCCCAGAGTTTAGTTAATAAAGTCTAAGCCAGAGAGTCATATATTTTGAGAAAAGTGACCATGGTTAACTTCCAGCCAACTACTTTTCTATTTGTTGCTGTTGCTAAAGTCAGTTTTAAAACTCTATCTTTAAAAAATCCTAACAAAAAGATTCATTCAGGAAGTATAAATGTCGTAATGATGCAGAAAATCAGAGCAAGGATTCTGAAAGTATGCAAGGGTCAAGACATAATATCCTACATTCAAAGCATGTGAGGAAATAAAAAGAAAGTTCTCAGATAACACAGTTTAAAATGAATTGGTGATGAGTAGTGTTAATCTAAACTCTTCTCTCTGTTCAAGTGTCCTAAGGAAAGCTAAAACATAATGCTGGATTTTGCAGCCATTATTCTTGAAGTTACTGTAGTCTATATATTCAACCATATCATTTCAGCCATGGGGAATCCAAGAACTGCGTCCATTTTACATTTAAAACAGCAATTTCCTACATATCCTTTATATTATGTGTTGACTATAAGACAAACTGCTAAAAATCATATTAGAGTACAGAAGTATAACCAGGAACACTGTATATAGCAAAAATCTGCCATTTCTACAGAGAAGACCTTAAAACAAAACAAAAAAACCAACCCAAACCCCAGACAATTCAGACTGTAAAGTAATCACAGTGACACATACAACCTATTGTAGAAACCCTCAAGACTACAAGCCTTGTTTCAGGCTTGATTAATTAATAGCACTTTTAAAAAAGTTACCGTATGCATTTAAAGCTAGTAAGCAAGATATGTTTAATCCCTCAGTTACCTTGAGTTTGGTCGATGAGCATGTCCATTCGTGTCTATGCCTAGCAAATGTAGGAACAGAATCACCTTCTCTTCATTCAGCACAGAGAACAATGTTTGATTACTTCTAGAAGAATTAAAGAAGCTCTGTATAGAATAAACCATTAAGATATTAATCTGAGCACAACAGAAAAAGATGAAAGACAGCCCATTAAAACTAAACCACAGTTGTTTTCATATCAAAATACTAGTAGCTGTTAGAGTTACAAAAGAGAAGAATTACTTCCCAGTTTACTTCTTGGAGGATGTCTACCATCAGTATAGTCAAAGTTTCAGCTTACCTAAGACAACCCTCCTCAAGATTTTGTTCATAGAATAATAGAATAGTTAGGGTTGGAAAGGACCTTAAGATCATCAAGTTCCAACCCCCTGCCATGGGCAGGGACACCTCGCTCTAAACCATATCACCCAAGGCTCTGTCCAACCTGGCCTTGAACACTGCCAGGGATGGAGCATTCACAACCTCCCTGGACAACCGATTCCAGTGCCTCATCACCCTAACAGGAAAGAATTTCCTCCTTATATCCAATCTAAACTTCCCCTGTTTAAGTTTTCACCCATTACCCCTTGTCCTGTCACTATAGTCCCTAATGATGAGTCCATCCCCAGCATCCCTATATGCCCCCTTCAGATACTGGAAGGCTGCTATGAGGTCTCCACGCAGCCTTCTCTTCTCCAGGCTGAACAGCCCCAACTTTCTCAGCCTGTCTTCATATGGGAGGTGCTCCAGTCCCCTGATCATTCTTGTGGCCCTCCTCTGGACTTGTTCCAACAGATCCATGTCCTTTTTATGTTGAGGACACCAGAACTGCACACAATACTCCAAGTGAGGTCTCATGAGAGCAGAATAAAGGGGCAGGATCACCTCCTTCAACCTGCTGGTCACGCTCCTTTTGATGCAGCCCAGGATACGGTTGGCTTTCTGGGCTGCAAGTGCACATTGAAGCCAGCTCATGTTCATTTTCTCATTGATCAGCACCCACAATTCCTTCCCTGCAGGGCTGCTCTAAATCTCTTCTCTGCCCAACCTGTAGCTGTGCCTGGGATTGCTCCGACCCAGGTGTAGGACCTTGCACTTGGCATGGTTAAACTTCATGAGGTTGGCATCAGCCCACCTCACAAGTATGTCAAGGTCCCTCTGGATGGCATTCCTTCCCTCCAGCGTATCAACTGAACCACACAGCTTGGTGTCGTCGGCAAACTTGCTGAGGGCGCACTCAATCCCACTGTCCATGTCAGCGACGAAGATGTTAAACAAGACCAGTCCCAACACCGATCCCTGAGGGACACCACTCGTAACTGATCTCCAGACAGACATTGAGACACTGACCACAACTCTTTGTGTGCGGCCATCCAGCCAGTCCTTTATCCACTGAGTGGTCCATCCATCAAATTGATGTCTCTCCACTTTAGAGACAAGAATGTCGTGTGGGACAGTGTCGAACGCTTTACACAAGTCCAGGTAGATGACATCAACTGCTTTACCCCTGTCCATCAGTTCTGTAGCCCCATCATAGAAGGCCACCAAATTGGTCAGGCAGGATTTCCCCTTAGTGAAGCCATGCTGGCTGTCACCAAGCACCTTGTTGTTTTTCATGTGCCTTAGCATGCCTTCCAGGAGAATCTGCTCCAAGATTTTGCCAGGCACAGAGGTGAGACTGACTGGTCTGTAATTCCCCGGGTCATCCATTTTCCCCTTCTTGAAAATGGGGGTTATATTTCCCTTTTTCCAGTCGTTGGGAACTTCACCTGACTGCCATGATTTTTCAAATATGATGGCCAGCGGCTTAGCAACTTCATTTGCCAGCTCCTTCAGGACCTGCGGATGGATTTCATCAGGACCCATGGACTTGTGCACGTTCAGATTTTTAAGATGGTCTCGAACCAATTCCTCTCCTACAGTGGGCCCAAGGTCTCCATTCTCACAGTCCCTGCGTCTGCCTTCCAAGACTTGGGTGGTGCAGTCAGAGCCTTTGCTAGAGAAGACCGAGGCAAAGAAGTCATTCAGAACCTCAGCCTTCTCCAAATCTTGTGTAGCTAATATCTGAGCTCCAGAGCCCTTAACCACCTCTCCCAGGGCTCTGTAGTCCTTCTTTATGTTCCCCAGGCTACTACTGTCTATATCCCTAGCACCCACATGTATCACCAGAAGTGGGTAATAGTCCGTGGGGCTTACCAGATCAGGCAGCCTCTCTGCCACATCCCTGAACTGTGCCCCTGGTAGGCAACACACCTCCCTTGAGACCGGGTCAGGCCAACAGATGAGTGCTTCTGTCACTTTCAAAGTAGAATCCCCTACCACTACGACTCGCTGCTTTTTCCTGACAGCACCAGTAGAAATCTTCACTAGTGCATCACCAGGCTGTTTTTGGCGCAAGTGCGTTTCCTCATGAGCCCCCTGCAGGACAGCAAAGCGGTTCTGTGTGGGGGCAACAGGTTCAGGAGGAAGCCCCTTGCTTTTAATTGTCCTTTTCCTCTTTTTTTTGTTGTTTTTTTTTTTGCCACCAATTCCCAGCTTCGAGAGCTAACAACCTCCTTCTTTCCTCCATGAGCTACGGGGGAAGCTTGAGGACTCTGCACAGTTTGGGCAGGGAGCAAGCATTCCTGTTTTCTCTCAGCTACCCTGACATCTTGTAGCCTACTAATAGCTTCCTGCAGCTCAGCCACCGGCAGCAGGAGGACCTCCACCAGGGAGCACCGAGTGCAGCCCTGCCCATTGCTTACCTTTTCCTCACCAGAGCAGTGCAGGCACTCTCTGCACTCCGAGCTGTGCGCTGCGGCCTCCCCTCTCATTGGCTCTGTCTGGGTGCCTACTGTGGCCACCGCCGGGGCAGCCAGAGCAGAGCTCCCAGACCGGACCCTGGTCATACGGCGAGTGCTCACCATCCCACTCGAACTGCCCGCACGAACTGCCTCGACCCGCTCTGTTCTCCGAGCTCCTGGTCGCTCACGCTCCCTGTGGCAGGTTTTTAACCAATCAGGGCTGGTGCCGCCCCTCCTGGCTCCGCCCCCTGTGAGTCAGCTGCTCGCGTCAGCTGAGCTGCCGGCTCCTGGGCAGGTCCTGTCGAGGCCTTGAGGCTCCCTCAAGTTTTCTTGGGGAGGGGTTGGTTTGGGCTTTGGGGGTGTTTTGTTTTGCCTTTTTTTTTTTTTTTTTGTGGTCTGGTTTTTTGGTTTGGGGTTTTTTCTTTGTTTGTTTATTTGGGGTTTTTTTTTTTGTGTTTTGTTGTTTTGTTTTGATTTGTTTGAGTTTCCTGAGAAATACCAGATAACTGAATATTATCTCTTCTTTGCCTCCTGTATAATCACAGTGATGAACCATTCCTGAGCATCACTTATGGCTTTAACTTGCAATGATTTATCAATTTCAATCTGGAAGCAAAGGTCTAAAATACTTGCGTTAGAAGCAAAGGTCTCAAATACTTGCTTTGGAAGCAGGTTCTGTGGGACTGAGATACCATGCTATAGCTTGTTTGCAGAAACGAAATTAAAACTGAATAAAACAAGACATGCTTTGCAAATATATGAACTACAGAACATACATCTGCCATGCACATGTCCTACATAAGCATCCCTGAGTCAGATGCCATGGGGGATTTCCCCCTCAGATTGAATGAGTCTTGACATGGCTATTCTGTGTTAGACCATATTGCCGCAATGCAAAATGCAGGCAGACAGCTATTCCAAAATGATCTCCTTAGTAACAGCATTGCCCAAGGAAACAAAGTTAGGCAGGGTTTTAGCTCAAAGAACACCAGAGAACCTTTCAGTATACTAGCATAAAGGAACGTGTTTTTGAATTTCATACAAGAGTCTATGGAAAACGCTGGTAGAGCCAGGAAACAATATATCAAAACAGTCAAACAGGAAAACTCCCAAATTAAATCCTAAAATGCAGATCAACATTGGAAGACAGGTATTTTTCTATCAGAGAATGATTAAGCAAAAGAAACCTGCAAGGAAGACAATGCCTGATCTTCTCCTCTCCCACCAGAAAAGTATCTAGGACATACCAAACCACCCCACTCCCCCAGCCATCTTGTAAGCCAGAGCAGCAGTAGCAGCAGCCAGAAGACCTTGCCCAATCTCTGGGTAATTAAGAATGAGACAACATAAGGAGTGTCACCTAAGATGAGGCATCTTTTCCCAGAACAAATACCAAACTTTACCCCACAGAACTTTTTTTTTTTTATAGTTTTTTGGAAAAAAAAGGAAATAGGAAGTTCACCACAAGGAGTTACCTTAGACTGCTAAAGGTGTTAAATTGGTAAGCAGGAGACCAAGCAGTAGGGGCAAAAAACCACCTTGCTCTGGAAGTTGCTGAACTGTTTATCAAGCACTATTCTCTTATCACCTTGTAGCCTGCTAAAAGCCTCTTCTTTTTGGTACTCCCTATTCTCAAAACACGAGACCTATCACCACTCAGCACCAGTTTCCGAGTCACCATTACATGTTAACTGTATCTTTCTGTCTCAATTGTTTTGTTTCCCTTTTATTTGCTCCATTCAGTAATACTACTTCCTTCATATATTTAAGCCAAATGCCACCATGAAGTTTCAGGGATGGAAGTAAAGAACAAGAGGCTGAGAGAACTCAGTTTTCTGAGTCTTAAGAAAAGGCAGATAAGGAGCGATTTAATTTCTGTTGTAGAATAGCCTACTGGGTAAAGAAAAGATTGAGACAGATTGCTCAGAAGGCCTTAGTGATGGGACAAGGGGAAATGCAATTTGAAATGTGGGAAATTCCAGGCCCGATTAGCCTGCTCTAACTGCACCTCCTTCATGCAGGAAGTTGGACTCAATGACCACTACAGTTTTCTTCCAACCTTCTTTTTCTACAATTCTGGCAACCTTTCTACAATTTTCTGGGAACTAAAATCAAATAATTCCCTGGATACAACTGATACACAATTTAGTAGATCAGTGATAAGTTTTCATTCACAACAAAATGTAAAGTCAGTTACAATGCAATACTAGTTAAAATATTACAAGAGAAGTTTGGTAACAACTACAGGAAATCTTTTAGTATTATCTCCCCTCCCTAGATGGAGAAAGCAAAGAAGAAAAAAAACATACCTAGAAGGCCTAGCAAATACATGATTTACTGATCTCTGAAAAAAATACGGACTCCATAGATGTTGGGGACTGTTTTGTTTCTCCACAGAGCACTCCATGGAAGCATAATCATTTAACACAGCTGATAAACTCTTGTTGACCACATGGACGTACAGGGAGAAAGAGATCAAACCTCTTCCCACAAAGCTTCTTCATACATAAAACTAGAACAACTTAAATTGGTTGATTAAAGCTGCGCACACTGATCTGTGCTGATGCAAGAGTTTAGTTATGCCAGTGTTTAGGTGTAAAATAAATGTACAAAGGCAGGATCAACATATATATGCCAGGTTTATGTCAGCTGAGCATGCTCAAGCACAGAACTCCTACACATAAATAAAACATTCAACCATTGCACTGCTAGTTACAACAGAGCTATTTGTACCGAAATACACTGACAGAAATCAACAGAAGGCCACGGACTGCCTGCAAATCTTCGAAGTTTAACATAATTCAGTTCTGGACTCCAGCCCCTACCCTGAACAAGATGAGAGTCAGAAGGCTTGGTCTGGCAGAAAAGAGCCAAAGGAAGAATGAACTAGTATGCTCAAAAATGAGAAAAGAAAAAAATAACAAGGAAAAATAAGTGTTTGCCATCTGCACCTACATGCCCATTTAAAAGACATCAGCTGAATAGCTCAAGCATATCCCACCTGTGGTCATAATAAATTGTGGTTAGACCATTATTGGGCTCATCTCCATGAGTTGCAGGAATTGAGTTCCTGCAATTTTATTCATTTTATCCGAAAAAGAGAATTCAATCTTACAAAACTGTTTTCCACAAAATACTTATAAAAATCAGAAATGCATTAAAAAGACCACTTTTCTCCCTGTCAGTTAACCTAGACTTCCAGTACTTTGCTGCCTAATTTTTCTTTACTACAGATTCAAACACGATCGACGTAAAGGTTATTTAACTGAGAATCATTGAGCTACATCGCACTAAATTACAATCAGTTCCCTAATTGTTCTGAAAGCTTCTAAGAAACCCACTCAACCAAACAAAAAACAAACAGAAAAAAACCTGCAATCAATCAACTCTATACCTATCTGGATCTCTAAGCCACTCCCAGGCTATTACCGCACATTAAAATGTCTGAGTTTTAACATAGCTGCAGATAAAAAGCCTAGTCTTACTCAATTTTTTCTGTCCCAAGAAAGGGCTAGGATCACCTTATACCACAAGTGGATGTGACAGGAACTATCAAGTATCATACATTTTATCCTCCACTCATGATTGAAGCAGTCTGCTTCTGATCCATACAAATGAAAGTAGCCCGACTTTCACATTTCCTGACCAACGGTGTTATCATTAGTTGGCACTACTTAAATGAACAAGTAATTTCAGGGTGCCATTACTAGTAGCTCAAACGTTAGTTATCCATTCCCCATATTCTCCCCATCTTTCTTAGGGCAGAGGAAGCCACAAGTGGCCCTCATGATGCTCAGGATCTGCTGACTACACAATAGAGAGGGAGTACGCATAAGCATCATTTAGTTCCTAAAGAGGCAGAAATCCAGGGATGACCTTGCCCAACGCAGAGTTAAATAAGATGTTGTTAAATATTTGAGATAAAATTCAAAAGAGAGAGGGGAAAAAAAAAGAAGTAAGCAAAGTGGAATTTAGATCTCAGCAAACTGTCACTGTTACTTACATATAATCCCACCACCATAGCTGACAGCTGCTCGGGTTATAAAAGCAGAGTGACCTCAGTTTTAGTCAGCTTTGAGTTTCACACTTCTGAAGCAATCACTGATGTGTAATTGAAGAAATGATTAATGGAATGGGTGTTTTACAAAAGTCAATCAAGTCCTATCCATTCACAGTGTGAAAGTTAGATGGGCAAAATAAGTCTTTAAAGTTAGCCTTTAAATTAATGGTGCTGGTTCCAAAGAAAAAGTCATCACTAATGACAAAAATATTAAACATATCATTATAGCTTAAAAAGATGTTTTGAAGCAAAATGAAGTACCACCCTCACATACCTGTGCAGCAGGGTACAACTTTAAGACAACAGCTATTCAAGTGTGACAGCCTAATTTGATCTGTATTATTCATACGCCTTACATCACACAACCTGGCACAAGTGCACATTCATGGCAGTTAGAAAAAATACCTTTTCACTGTAAACTCAGAAAATCACTTCCTTTGAAATTAGCAAACTATAATGAACTTTTCTATTCTGCATCACTGTTTAAAGACCCAGCCTTGGCTTCATAATATAGATGCTGATTTGGTTTACTGATTTACTTGGTTTAATTTTGCTTTGCTTTGATTTATGCTGGTTAGCTAATGTTAATGCATACAGCTCAGAGATTTTATGGGAGAAGTTTTATTAAGCCTTAAACTCCCTTAACATTGTTATGACATCCAAAAAGTAACTCTCCTAATTGTTCCACTGATACAGGTATATTTATACACTAATACCCACTATCCCTTCCAGTACCAAAAGGGGTGTACAAGAAATCTGAAGAGAGACTTTTTACAAGAGCATGTATTGATGAGACGAAGGGGAATGACTTTAAGTTGAAAGAAGGTAGATATAGATCAGGTATTAGGACTAAATTCTTTACTATGAGTGTGGTGAGGCCCTGGAACAGGTTGCTCAAAGAAGTTGTGGCTGCCCCACCCCTGGCAGTGTTCAAGAACAGGTTGGATAGGGCTTGGAGCAACCTGGTGTAGTGGAAGGTGTCCCTGCCTGTGGCAGGGGTGCTGGAATTAGATGATCTTAAGGTCTCTTCCAACCCAAATCATTCTATGATTCTATGATCAGCATTTCATAATCCAGGACAAGTGAGGTAGCATGGAATAACCTGAATATATGAATTCATGGACATGGAATAACATGAATATAGGAATTAATGAAATCAGGGACTGTAGTGATAGGACAAGGAGTAAAGGGGTTAAACTTAAACAGGGGAAGTTCAAATTAGATATAAGGAAGAAGTTCTTTACTGTGAGGCTGGTGAGGCACTGGAATGGGTTGCCCAGGAAAGCAGTGAATGCCCCATCCCTGGAAGTGTTCAAGGCCAGGTTGGACAGAGACTTGGGCAACATGGTCTACTGTGAGGCATTCCTGCACATGGCAGGGGAGCTGGAGCTATATGATCCTTAGGTCCTTTCCAATCCTAACCATCTGATGATTCTATGTGCCTTGGGCTATTAATGCTTACAGTAACAGCATCACAGAAAACAACAGTCATGAAACAGCACTGACCCAAGTCAGCTGAGCAGTTCACCACCTCAACAAGTTACACTACTTCAGGGCCTATGCTGCCTCTCCCCGCAAACTAACCCTGACTCCTCTGGCAGCCACAGCATAGCATGAACTACAGTAGATAATCAGGTGCCAGCCGCATGCATCAGAACAAGCCACACTGTATAATTACAGTGGGAAGAAGCCTGACAATAATTAAGTCAATAATATTGTCCATTACCTTCTCATAATGAACTTACCCCTTCTGCAATGCCATAATAATTGTTACAAAATCCTTAACTAATCACATTCAAGATCCTAAATAGTCTGTTGTACTCTAAGATGGGGTTCAGATTAAATGTAAGACAAGAAAAGCCAAGAATGTTTTTAAAGGGTACTTTTATTAGTGTTAGGGTTTTTACTATCATTGAATGACAGATACTTCCTCTAAACTTCCATGACAATAGTCATGACAGTCGATTTGAGCAATTTTTACTTATGACCACAAGTGACAGGTCTTTCAAAAATTTTTATTTTCAAGTTTAATTAAGTTAGCATGTTCTATGAGGAAGTTAATATCCATGTCTACTTTTTATACACAGGTAGCACAGAAAGATTCTCTGCTCACCTTAACATGATCAAAAACCCAAATGTCTAGCTCGGCTGCATCTTGTGCTCCAAAATCTTCACTTTCTGCTGTGTAACAAAATGTATAAACGTGATCTCCAGTAGCACCTGCAAAAACAATATAGCTGGAATAACACACAGAGAAAGTTTTTTTCCTCTTCTCATAATCAAAAAATACATGAATATTAATGCATAGGATTAGAAACCTAACCCAAATTAGAATCCTGAGGAAAGTCAAAGAAGATTTCCTTTTATTTTAGAAACTTTACCGTAATTTACGGGGTTTTGAGGTCTGGATACTATTTGAATTCATTAGCCTATCAGCATCTCAGAGGAATGAGAAACAATGTTATCCAGTATGCCCAGAAGATGAAATACAGCATGGAAAAGCATATAGGAGTAGAACAAATCCCAGATAAAGCAAATTAAACATAATTTAGTTTCAAAACAAGAAATATCACTGAGAAAGTTCTAACATGAGTACCTCCCGTATGAAGACAGGCTGAGAAAGTTGGGACTGTTCAGCCTGGAGAAGGCTGTGTGGAGACCTCATAGCAGCCTTCCAGTATCTGAAGGGGGCCTATAAGGATGCTGGGAAGGGACTATTCATTAGGGACTGTAGTGATAGGACAAGGAGTAATGGGTTAAAACTTAAACAGTGGAAGTTGAGGTTGGATATAAGGAAGAAGTTCTTTGCTGTCAGGGTGGTGAGGCACTGGAACAGGCTGCCCAAGGAAGTGGTAAATGCTGTATCCCTGGCAGTGATCAAGGCCAGGCTGGACAGAGCCTTGGGTGACATACTTTAGTGTGACGCGTCCCTGCCCATGGAAGGGGTTTGGAAACAGATGTCCTTTCCACCCCAAACCACTCTACGGTTTTATGATTAAGAGCCTTTTCTGAACACATGTATTTTGGGGGTGTGAAAAGGGATGTTAAGGAAATGTACTTAGCTTTGGTTTTTAAACGAATCATACAAGACAGTGTTCTTTCAGTGAGGTCTTTTACACAGGAGAACATTATATCACATGTAAGAAGGTAACAGGCAGGATGTAACTCAGTTACTATACATCAATTCCAGAAGGCACCAGAGTACCAAAAGCCAAGCGGGCAGCCTCAGAAAGACAGTATTCAAAGCCTGCATCTTTAAATCATCAACCCAAAACATAAAAGAAAGAACTACTGGACTGTGTTCAGGCATAATGTATATGAGGGCCACTGATGTGAAAACACAGCATCTGGACAAGACAATTTCATTCTGTACTCACAGTCATGACAGCAAAGCAGAGAGTGAGGTGGGAGTTGAGGGGAGATGAAGACCCAGAAGAAAGTAAACTTCTGAAGTCCTGGAAAGATCAGAATTCAGGTGCGGTTTCATGAAATAATTCTGTCAATGGCTGAGGTGTTACAGCTGGGGGATGCTATTTCTACCGTGACTACATAAACTCCCAGAGAGGAAAATGTTCTCCAATCATTTGATGGCCAGAAAGAACATAATCAATTTCCTGGATGTCACAAATATATAATGCAGTTTTGTGAGCTTCCAGGCTTGTGAATGAATTACTATCCCAGTATAAGGGAGCTGTTTAACAAAGATTATGTCCAAACCAGCACAAGGGATGCAGATATTTCAGGCCAAGAAGATGAAAAGTGGCACAGATTTTCTGGTGCACCTCCCCCCTGCCTCCCAGGAGACGATACTACTGCTTATATCCCAGAACACTCACTGCAGTGCTCACCGTCTGAAACAAAAAGGAATAAAATACTCCCAGGCATTAAAAAGTGAATTCAGGATTTCCAATTGGTGAATAAATGAGTTCAAAAAAAGAAATAAGCCTTGGCCATCACTGTCAGGATGACTGATGGTACATGATAGAGTGCTGTACTATTTTTCTGCACTGTCACAGCAAACCCAAGACCGCCTGTCTTTAAGAGGTGCCACACTAAAGAAGCCAAATGAAAGCATGCAGTCTGCAGGCCAGGCAAAGCAGCACATCTACTACTTACACATTTCTAATTTCTACCTGAGAAAACAAACAAACAAAACCCCACACCAACAAAACAGGGGACTTCTGTTAGCAAATTTTGCAGGCACAAACAAGGGGGAAAAAAGACTGAAGGCATGAGGACAGTCAGGCACTGAGCCAACAGAGCATAGGCACCAGAAAGTTGTCATCAACCACAACCAGTGAGAAATGTGAGAAATTCTGCATTTTTCTTGCTGTGCTATAGGAACAAGGAACTAGAAGAGGAGACCAGAGGTCTGTCTGTCCAGAACAACCCTGACAGATGTTTGTCATGTTTATCTGCATGCTCTTGATAATACCCTTCTTCAAGCTGAACACTGAACATACTCCAGCTGAACAATGACCCTAGCCTTGCTGCTTAGTTTCCAAGAAGGAAGAAGCCTGTGGAACAAATGGCAATCTGGGTACAAAAGATATCTTCTTCCTATCTGCAATATCTTTCCTTAACAGAAGCAACAGACTCAGCTCCTTTTTCAGTGTGTCATTTAATACTCTGAATCACACTCCTAGGCCCATGACAAAACAGTACAGGACTAAACTGTTCCTGTCAAACTCAAAATTCTGGCAAGCCTAGAGTAAAACTCAGAATTTTAAGGAGCATTGTGGAAATGAAACAGGCATTTTCTAAGTACATTATTTTCGGATCATTTCAAAGTAATAATCTAAAAAGTACCATTGAAAATTAGGTGAAAATCAGCACACTGAATTTAGCTTAAGTTTAAATATTAGAAACAAACACCTTTTAATCCTGTTTAACATATAAGTAAATTACATACCAGTTCCAAAGGTACTTTAGACATTTTCTCAGACTAAAACACTAATCATGCAGTCATTGAGACTTAGACAAATTTCAGATTTCATGCATATCTAATTTATATTTAAAGAGATCTTTATGTTCTCTATAGAATCCTCAACCATTTCATTTACAATATTTATTTTATAACAGGAAAAGGACCTGAAGAATATAGACAATGACAGAAAAAAAAAGGATTTTCCTCTCCTTCCCAAACCCCAAGAGATGTTAAATACTCTTCATGCATCATCCAATAAAGGTGGTGAAAAGAGTTATTAAAACTCTGAACATTTTGGTATGATAAAATACAGACAAGAGGAGTCCTGTGACTTCACTAATTTGCAATATAGGAAGAGAGAGAAATTAAGCTATGCTCCCCTATCTCCTTTTGGACTTTTTTGTAACAGTAAAATTAAAGAAGAAAGATTTGATTCCGTTCAATTCTGTATTACAAAACTTCTCTTTGGAAACTGTATTATAAATTACTTTCTGCATTATAAAACTTCTCCTCTTGGGAAGAAGGGAAAATATTTTTTTTTATTTTTTTTTTACTAATAGAAGTTAATCTACCTTTCTGTCACAAGAAACTATGATTCATTGTCCTATATCACATCTACTTCTCGGATACAGGGATGCACTAAATCTTTCTCAATTTTGGACGATTTCCCTCCCCCTTCAAAAGAAAGCTCCATTGTTGGTGCCACTCAGAACAAGCCAAACAGTATGGTATTAACCTTGCATATCCCTCCAGATAACATCAAAGCTGCTTCTAAGTCCTCTCCTAATCTTTTTACTCAAAACTAGTAGAAGACAGGACAGAATTTCTGAACTTCCCAAATATTTTCCCAAGAACATATCTCAAATAATGTGCAAGGGCAGCATACTACCTTTCCGCTTGCCCCAGTCACCACCACAATATTTCCAAATACAAGATGTAATCTGAGGTCATGGAAAATTATCAGGGGATATTTTAACATCTTACCATAAACTTATGAAGATTAAGCAAAGAACAGAAAAGAGATATAGGTGTAGGGAATATCAGGATGACAGAAGGAAGAGCCTGGAGTTCAGAGAAAGTTCAAGAACCATAATGAGAAATAAAATGCACACTTTTTCTAAACCAATATTAGATTCCACTCCTATCCTGCCTATCACAGTTTTCTGATTTGGCAATGGCAGTGCTTAGAACAGAACAGCAGCATATGCCCCTAGCTTGTTCCCTTTTTACTTCAGTCTGTTTTATTCTGAAATTTTGAGAAAGCGTGTATAAGGCCACATTCTTCCAAGAACAAAAGAAATTAAACTCTGAGACTCCTTAAATGTTTGAAGTGTTGCTCAGCAATCTCTGCATGCTCAAAGACCAATTGCACTAGGTTCACAAGACTTTAACTCACTGCACAACAGTGCACACACAGGGGAAAAGACTTCAGCTTCAGAAATAGTACCAGAGTTCCTACTTGTATGTAGTGCTTCCCTTTACACATAACTGTTCTGGACTAGAACCCACAATAAGCTACTTTTCCAGCTCAGACACTCAAAATCACAGCTGCAGTTCTATCATCCAACTCTCTGGGAGCAGCATGCAGAGGAAGAAAAATGCCTCCTTTAGTATGCTGATAGAATTCACTTAGGCCTATTTAAATGGCCAAATAATAAACAGGTATATCCTCTTTAAAAGCTTGCTTCTTTTTCTCTACCCAGTCTTGAATTCACAAATTAGAAATCAGGTGTGCACAAATGTACATAGCAGAAATACTTCATTCACCTTTTTTAACTCAAAAGCTGTGTCTCTATTTTACTACCTGATAACCATGCTTTAGACATTCACAAAATTTAAACCTTACCTTTTGCAAACATTGGCAAAATATCTGGGCTTCCCCAGCTCCAAGTATATTTACTTTCATTGAAAACAGAGTCAAATTCCACCGGATTCTCCTTCCACCCTGGTAAAAACAAAAAACAAAACCAAACCAAACCTCTATTTAAATGGCATTGCCAGAAGATCTCATAGACTGCTAAGACTGACAGTCTAAGCAAAATGCTTGGGGTTTTTTGTTTGTTTGGGCTTTCTTTTAAGTTTTCCTTGTACTACTCCACAATGCATTCACTTTGTGAGTCCTGGTTTTACTTCCATTTCAACCTCTATTTGCAATTAGTCCCCCATTTATGAAGAAGTGAGCTGAAAACCTAAGCCAATCTCATTATGCCAAGGATTCAAACAAAACACACAGCTGGTTTACCTTCTAGACAGCTAAAATTCTCCTTAATTCTGAATCCCCTGTTGTCTGAACTCAGTTTTGGCATTTTAGGCAATAATTTACACACTCCTCTATCGTATTTCCAGTAGTCACGATGTAAAATAAAAACAGTAAAACCTTCAAGATCTTCAGTTTCCTTGACAAGGCAGCTAACAAATAGAGATGGTCTTGACAGCAATTCCTGCCAAACCTGCATTTGTAGCAGATGTCAGGAGGAAGAAACTTTTGATTAGAAGCATGGACCTGATCAAGTAATTCCTCTTACCTCCCCTGGCCAAAGCCAATACACAACATTGCAAGCATTCAGGCCCTGAAGCCTGGGGGAAGGCAGAGGACCACACAAAAGACCAAATCAGTAATGCAAAGGTTTGTTCCACATTATTCACCACTAAGCATGCAGTAACAACTCGATCTGAACAAAACACATAGCTGGGGTTTTTGCCCTGTTTTGCTACTCGTTCTCCAACTCAGCCTAGCAATGATTCAGCTAAGACAATGCAGTACACTTCTTCTTTGCAACATCTTCTTAGCCATCTTCCATTGCACCCCATATGATAACTAAAAACTCTGTTACATGAATAGGTCACTCCATAAGACACTTTTGCTTTTAGGCTCAGGGTGCTGAATTTTACCATGTTACAAAATGTTAACTTAGGTAAGCTATTTTCATAGCTATCAATATTAAAGGTGAGAAATCCATCCAAAAATCATTCTTTTCCATACAACCTTGGTATACAAAACAGTATGCAGGTACTTATCAATAATTATCTAGAAGCCCAGCATATCACTGAAATACCTTATTTTGGAGGACAGTTTTCAAAACTTCAGGACCAACATACCTTTAGCAACTGCACTGACATCTTCATAAAATCCAGCTATAAGTGCAACGTGCCCTGGCCTGGATTCTGTTGGGACCCTTGTGTGAGAGATTCCCCAGCTGCCATTGCTCTCTAGGATACTTCTGAAAACAGGATACAAGGCAGTTAATGCTTACGCCTTCATGAAATTACATTGAATTGCAGACAAAATGAGTGGCAGATAGACAGATGTGACGCAGGAAATGCAAAAAAAACCCACCACAAAACAACAAACAAACCAAAACAAACAAAAAAAGCAGGCTAAAAGAGATTTTCACTACTGCCTGCTGTGCAGCAAAACAAGCAGAACATTAACCTGCAAGTAGTTCTATAACAGCCCACAGAGAACATTTCTAGTGTCACCCATCAGCACTGCAAACACGTAAGTTTAGCCAGTGTTCTAATACACTTAGAATTAACGTATTTTTTCTGTTGCTTTCTGCTATAGTTTACTTTCCCCCCTCCCTAACAGACTGTTTCTGCCCGGTGCTTCTTTTCTTTGTTCTTTCCATTTAGCTTGAAAGTGCCTAGTTCAGTCTCATTAAATATGCTCCATTATAATTAGTTCTTGTGACCATGTCTGCCTTTATCTGCACTGAATACTGGAAGCAAGCATCAAAAGAATTTAAAACCCATGTAAATCTAACGTGCAAATCACTTGAGGAATACAGAGAAAATTTAAGTAAACCTTGTATCTTTTGCAATTACGCTGAAATGGAGAATACCTTCTCACCACATATCCAGAAATACGTGACGTGTCTAGGGATTATGCACATACAATAGTTATAATATATGTTATATATATGTATATGTATATATACAGATAAAAAGCAAAGAAAACAGAAGACAAAGCCCAAGTACAAGGAAGCCTCAAACTACTCTTGTCTGCTGAAGATACTAACAGCTGGAGCCTGTTATAGAGCAAGTGGTGAGCATAAAAATATGCTGTTTTAATGTCTCCACCTTCTGGAAGAAGCAAAAGAATCACTGCCCACTGTCAGAGCAAGGGGAGAAAGAAAGTAAACACTAGGACATACCTTATATAAATGTTTAGCAAAAAAGCAGCAGAATCTTCAGAACAAATTCTAAGCCATTTTTAAGAGTCAAATTACTGGGACATGGTATTTTTGTTTCTAATTACATATACTACAAAATTTGCTGTATTTTTATCAGATGTGTTTTAGCCAAAGTATGTTCTAAGTTCAGGATTTGTAACTTTATTTTTAACAGAGATATTACACAACTGTTAATTATAAGATCTGTACATTCAGCTCTAAATAGATCTCTCACTAATGAAGCACAAATTACATAACAGCTTAAAATTTTGGGCTCCACTCTAAGCTTGCAGGATCCAGAGTCTGGTGGCTGCCTTTTTGTTTTAACTCATCTTAAGACCTCATATTCTCAGGCCTCCTTGGAAGCTCACAGGATCTATTTTGAATAGCCTAAATATTACACTGAAAAATGCAAACTGTGATATAGCACTCTGACATGTTATTACTAGCTCTTACATCACCTAGGCTTTAAGACAAGTTGTGCTGGAAAAAAGTACTAATTTGAAAAAAGGATTTAAGTATTAAAATGGTTTCTAATTTATTCTCACAGAAGACATGGATGAACATGTATCGCACTAGCATCAGTGGAAGATTTGAGACACAAATAAAACATGACCCTCCTCAGACTTCATTGTTACAACAGGTAGGAAATTATTTAAATTACAATTTGATTTCTATTGAGTTGGGAAGTAAACACTTTTGTTTTATTTTTGGGGGCTGTATCACAGGATCTGAAGTCAACAATAACACATACCAGGGAGAAAAAAAATATAACCAAGTATTGTCATTTACCTGTTCAAAATTAATTTAAGTATTTTGAATTATTTCAAATCCTTTCACCTAGAAGAATCATTAAAAAAGAAAAACAAAAAAGAAATTCCTTGACAGTATTAACATTATCTACCCACAGTAACAATGATGAATATGATATAGTACTAAGTCTGAAACACAGCAGGCAAGGAAAAAAAGCACCTTTCCCAAAATTACCACTACAGCAATTCAGACCACACCTATGGTCCTTCAGAGCTATCACAACACTGCTAAAAATAGACTTTTTCAAGAATATTTGTGAGAGAAAAGATGTCTCAAGCCTATTGGACAAGCTAATACATGGTTTAACTTTTTCTTTCTAGAAAGGTATGATAATGCTGAATAGCTGAATCTGAAAAACTCAAACCACTTAATGGCAAAAATATCCATTATAACTCTTTCCTAACCACCACCTTCCATTGCTTCTAGTGATGGGGCCATTACAGTATTCACACCTTGCTGATGCTGAAAAAGACCAACAGTTTTACTGCTAATAGAAGAAACTGCTCTGGAGGAAGGATGTAATACACTGCTAAAAAACAAGGAAAACTCACACTGATGTGGCAGACATCTGCCAGTGGCAGACAACACTTTACAAAAGCACTAACAACAGGAGAAGCAGATACAAGTAATCCCATATAAACCGACAAGTGCTGTAACAAGTGCTCCTCAGATTCCTGTAGCAAGACTGCGAACACTGAAACAGCTTCGGATGATGGATTATTTGGGTTTGCTCTGATATTCAAGCCAGGCCAGTGCTATAACACTACTTTTATCAATACTGTCTAGCTTTTTCCCCCCTCAGCCTAAGAAGTTGCTTGTCTTAAAATCAGATAATTATCTTGATATAAGGAAACAGGGAAGGTTGCTGAAAATCAGTTTTAAGCACTCAAGGATATGACTTGCAATACTCTTTTTGGCAGGATTAGGTTTTCTACAATCTTAAACCAAATCATTCCATTAAGCAATCAGACATACACTGGAGAGCACAAGGGAGGCAGCAGGGTCACACATGCAGGAAGGGTGGAACAAATAGGAAGTGGCAGCCTGCTGTTAGATCCATTCAAGCCATCTTTTTTAATCACTCCTTAAAAAGCTTCATCTGTAGCTTAGAAGACAAGCACGTTAATGAACTACTACTCCTAAAATGAACATCCAAGAAGCAGTTTAAATTAATGACTCTGTTAGGCTTCACAAGTGATACCATGCTGATGTGAATGAAGGAAGTTCACACTCCTCTCAGTTACTGGCTAGCCGCAGTTTTCAGAGGACAATATTGACTCAATTTACTCTGTTCATGGTTTAGCAGCTTTAGTGGCAACAAGGGACACCAACTCAAACTCATGCATTTCTGCAAGGTGTAACTCCACGAAGCTTGTTACTTCAAAGGCAGAGGGAAGGCAGTACTCAAGCCATCAGCAAAGCTACCATCATTCCTCTTGTTACCTTCTCAATACAACAGACCTACTTCCAGAAGCAATATCTTCTGGATGAGTAGCATTTTCAGATGGACTTACCGCAGGTAAGGTGCTCGGGGTGTACCGTTGCTGTTCAATTCATACAGTGAATCTGCCCGCAGACCATCAGCCACAAAGAGCACAAGACGTTTTGCTGGAGGTGGCAGTGCAGTCTGCTGAGGAGTCATACCATGAACCAGGGGAGAGCTGAAGTAGATGTCAAAAATGGAGACCAAGAACACACAATGCACAAGGAGACCAGCAAGTATGAAGACCGATACCCCCATGGCAACAGCAGGCTGGCAAAGCAAAGTCCAACACTAAAAGAGAGTGAGAAAAATAAAGTTAGGCAGGTGAGACTTATCAGAATCAGTATTTATTTCATTTATTATAAAATGGGAGTACCACAACCACAGCCATTGCCCAGGATCCATAACCAATCTCTGCTTTCGACAAGCTTTTTCCCCAGTTTTGGTCAAAAGTCACTACATGGCTAATTCAGATTTTCAGATAGTCATTATGTCTCAGCATCTATGGCATTCAGTGAGATATCAAATGGCTTCAAAAGATAATTGAATCAAGCCAGTTTGCCCGAAATCCATCAGTCTTTTGTTACCTGCACCAGTAAGAGAATACTCAGGCAACACAATGCCTCTGTGAACATACTACACTTTACCAGCTGATTGCATGACACTGTTAAGGTCTGTTCAGGCAAACACAAGCCAAAGACAGCTAGGGAAAGCCGTTGTATAGCAAACATCCACTCAAAGTTGCTTTTTCTATGTTTACTACCAATTCTGGGCTCATTGTATTCTGCACAGAAACAGAAAACTTCTTTAAAGGAAAAAAAATACTCTGCTGAGTGCAGAACATTATTTCTCTTCTCAAACATGTGACAGAAGTGCAACAGCTGAAGGATTACATTTCATGGATATATTCCCTTTTCGAATGTATTTTCTCCCCTGTCATCCTCTGAAGTTAGCTTAGGGACAAAACTATACTCAATAACAGGTACACTGGAAATGTACACATCTGCCCATGTCCACCAGGGCATTCATATGATGCCTACTGAAAGCAATGCAAGTGTGTACTGACTCAGGTAAGTGTGGGATCTGAGCCTGTATGAGACTTAGCTCTGGCAAAGTTCTATTAGTGCTGTCCAGGCTGCTTAGTTATTTAAATATTAGCTAATTATCAACCTTAATAAAAATACCACCTCCACTCACCAATTTAGAAACAGATGAACCTAACAGCCTGGAAGTTTCAGATATTCCATTACCTATGTAAAGACACACTGCTCTATAAAAGAAACTCTTTGTTTCAGGATCCAGTTGGTGCTCCAAAATGACAATATATACATTTATTTTGTTACTTACAGAATTGCAGTAGCTGGACAGGCAGAGACAGACACCACTTTTATCAAATAAAGAAAAAGGATTTCAGTACAACCGAACCGTAACTCTGATCAAAACTCTGCAAGATGTTGGGGGTTTTTTAACATAAAAATTTTAAAGGGCCAGGAAAACCAAAGGAAAAAAGATTTTAAAGTTTATATACATATTCATTGCTTATTAATAAAAATAAAAACAACCCTCAAATCTGTATGCAACTTAACCATAACTTCCAATACCACCCATTTTCCCTGCTGAAACACAGATGCAGAAACTCCAATGCGAATCAGAAACACTAACATAATAATTCCTCATTTTAGAGATTTGGAGAGAAAACCTCATAACAAGATTGAGATAACTAAACACAATGTTTCAAAGACACTCGCAGTAGTCATGCTTAAGTGATCAAACGAAGATTTTTCATTAATCAGGAGCTTATATGCTTCTACATCCACAAGTGAGATTCCAAGAGAGACTGGGTATATTTGTAAATATCAATTTGTTTACTTTTTTAAGTATTCAGGGTTCCAGAGTGAATTTAAATACATGAAACCACAGACACAGCAAACCATTAAATTCAACGCTGGACTTCATTTTATTCAAGCAGTTTTATTTTCCATAGGGCTTTCTCTTTTCATGTAGTTGTGCTTGGTAAGAGAATCCAAACTATTCATGCCTGATGAGACTAAACGCTCTACTAAATGAAGCAGTTACCTCAATCAGATACTTGCTGTTGTATACTCCCAATGCTACAATTCTATAACTTAACATATTCTAAATTCTTCTAATTAAAGTATTAGTAACCTAATCTATTTTCAGCACTAGCTATTTCTCTTTGCTTTAACTCTTCCCAGATCTGAGCCCCTGCTTGCAGCAAAGACTGCGATCAACACAATTCAAATTTAATGATGTCTTAGACTACAGTGATCTACAGAATTAATTAAAAAAAAACCTTTAAAAAGAATTTAACCCCCCCCCCCAAACAAAACAACAGGCTGAAACAGCCCCTTCCCATACAAAAAACAGTTTGCATTTTGAGAAATAGCTTGTCTAAGTGATCTATTGCTGTGCAAAAGCAGGTCCTGGCTCATACTGGTTCATTTCTTGGCTGAATTGCTACCAAATGATACTTCACACAGTTCATTTCTTTGGGGAAAAAAAAAAAAAAGAAAGCCAGCAAGAAGTCAAAGAAATAAAAAAGAGCATCAGCGATACCGCTCAGAAGTCCGCTTCGGTTTACACCTACACTGATAAGGAAGAGAGTGCTTTACTTCTCTTTCTAGAAGAAAGGCACTCAAGCAACAATCTAAGGCCAACAGAGTTGACAAGGCTAGACCACCAGCCTTTCACTATCAATATTTAAATGTAAACTTTTGGATTTCAATGTGTCCTGCAAATCGAAGGACAACCCTCTTCCCCAATCAGGAATACTAAAGTCACATTTGCAAGTATTTAAGCTTCTTAAATCTAGGATGGGCTACCACCTTTTATTCTGCTGTGGAACAAGATAATTTCACCCATGCATTTCTAGCTACTTGATATGAAGAGTCATTAGTTCAGTGGATGCCAAGGCAACAGAGAAAAATATCTCTTATTGGAACAGCCAGCCATCCCCTGGGAACCTACTAATTTACTATGGATCACTGAACCACAAAAGGTAAACCATCAAGGAAAAAGGCAAAGGTAAAAGACAGATGGACCTCTGGAAATTATGAATGAACCTCCATAGGAAAGGATGATTAATGCCACGCATTTGTGACACCATTACATCATTAATGTTTGTGCTGTGTAATTGCAGCTACAAGTGTTTGTGTCATGAAATAATGAATTTGTCTCACTTCAAGTATAAATGCAGTCATCTCCCCTCCTTTGCAGTCTTGCAAATGAGGGACCATCAATACGAAGAGGAAAAGTCAAATATTTCTCTTGAAAGTATCCTTTTCCTTACAATATCTGGACATAATCTTCATAAGCCAGAAAAAAAAGGAGATTTGGGGAAAATGAGACTTGTGGAAAAACCTCAGCATAGATCTCTTGGGACACCTGAGGGTTTTTCTGCTTATGATAAGCTCTAGCATTACACCTTCCCCTCACCCCCATTTCCAAGAAGGGTGGTATCATCAGTTTATCTGTGTTCTCAGAGATTCAATGCAACTCCAAGGAAGGATGTTGCTTAGCAGTCAACACAACCTCCACACAACCAGTACAAGAACAGCTGGAACTAGTTGATGGCACCTCTAAATTTGAAAATGCCAGATCTTCACCCCTCTGAGTCCTCTGCCATACAAAGATCTCTTTCCCTCCTCTTTTCTTCACCCTTTGTGCTTTTGCATCACCATTTGACAGGGTCATTAAAAGCCAAGTCTCAATCTGCCCGTCTAGTGTGGAAACCCCAGGTTGATCAGGATCTCGTAGATGTTCTGACAGGCCTATCGGCCTCAGGAGGAGCTGCAAATGGAAGCATCAATATCAAACTCCTTCATGCCCAGCTGCTTTCTGGCATACTTTTCTGGTTGGGAAAAAGAGAGAGCAGCTAACCCAGCCAAAACCAGGACACCCAGTAAAATCTGAGTGCTCAGACCTACAGTGCCAACTCTCATGCCTTCTAGGCACAGAGAAAGCACAGCTAGCACTGTGTATGCATGTGCCTAGCAGGAAACATGCTTATCTATATACTATTTCTTTGTATCTCACATGAGATACAGCATTGAAATCCAGTTTCTATAGGATATCACACAAAGGAAGAGTCCCTTAGTTTTCTCCCTTCCATTATAGAGGTCACCATGAGCAAATCTCTCTGTCGAGCCTAGTGCATGATTGTTAAAGGCAGAAACATCGCAAAGCATGCTAAAACAAAGAAATAACAAGGCAAAAAGTGGATTAAGCACTAGCTTATAAGAAAAAGCAAAAGCCACAGCCTGTCAAGAGAAGAAAAATAGAAATATATTAAACACATACTTTGAAGGATAAGGAGCCAGATCTAAATATTTATTACTAGTGCAAAAATGTCTGCCTTCAGGTGCCTGGCCACCCAAAAAGTGGGTAAACAAACTGTCACTTGAAACTATACCTTACATCTTTCTGTCAAAGAATATTAAGCCAAGGATATCTCAACATTCTTGTGTTCTCTGATACTTTCCCAAACAACCCCTTTGCAAGTGACTTAGTGCACTACATCCCACAGTCCTTATTTTCAAAGCAAAACACAAGCTTTGCCCAAATCCTGACTGCATTATTCTACTCAATTCTGTTAAGCCACTGCCTGTCAAACCAAGAGGAAAGAAGTTTCTAGTCTTCTAGATAATAGAGGAGCATGCTGAAACCTATCTGCCACATGCCAATTCTTGCTGTTCATCCAAACATATAATTTGTTACAATGCAGTTCAGACAGCCAATTCACCTCCTCTACAGACTCAGCCCAGCTAGTAAACTATGTATCAGACTCAGATTTATTCTTTTCTTTCTATACTTTTTTGCTGCTGTTCCAACCTCCTAAACTACACGCAGAGCGAATCATGATACTGTCCAACCTCCAAGTTGTCAGAATGTAAACTATCCCAATAAAGTATTTTTTGCTCAAACAATTTGGAGCGAACAACACAAAGCTGGTGTGGAATTTTCAAGCCCCTTTTCAGATCGTTAACTGAAGAGTATTAAAGATCCACCAAGCTACTCACTGCCTGTTAAATGTGCGCTGTCCATACGAACAGAGCAATTAGAAACTCAGCACTGACCTGGCTATGCTGGGGGCTTCAGCAGACTTTAAAGCTTCTCATTTTTTTGGATATTGTACATAAGTAGAGAACAGAGTGAGCAGACAGTGGGGAGCAATCCTTTGGAGAGGCAAGAAGGCAGAAGCAGCGGATGCTTTTCTTAGTTTAGGAGATTAAAGAAAAAAAAAGCAGCAAGTACCTCCTGACCAGAAATAGTTATATTTCCAGAATAAAGTGATGTACACAGATTAGAGAAGGGAATTTTGGTTGGGTTTTTTGGTTGGTTGGGTTTTCCTTTTGGTGGTGATAATGTTCTGGTGGTGGTGTGCTTTTGTTGGTTGGTTTCCTTTGTTGTTTGGTTTGGGTTTTTGTTTTGGTTTGCTTCTGTTTATTTCTTTTCCCCAGAATCCTCAGAAAGCTCAGCTTCCTGCTGGTGGCAGATGGGATGAAAAGACCCTCTCTTTCTTTGTACTCACACCTATCAAAACAATACCAAAAATCCGGATATTAGCTGTGAGTGCCTCACCAACAGTCATGTCAGTGCAAAGACTAAAATAGACAGACTGTGACAGCAGCAGGGGAACAAGACATGAGCAGTGAGCCACCTAAGCCCAAACATCAGAGGCGAGAAGCAGGCAGTTTATTCCCCATGAGCTTTTCCCTCTTTTCAAGTTGATCCATAACTTGCTGACAAGACTTTTTTTTCCTTCCTTTTTTTGACTCATGAT